GTATTTAAATTTGTTCTTGTTGGGCATAGTTCATTTTCTTTTTCACTTTTTTTTGTGGGGGGAGGTTTGAGATGGGGAGTTTCTCTGTGTAGCTCTGGCTGTCCTAAAACTCGCTCTGTAGACCAGGCTGGGTTATTAATTAAAGAAAAAACGGAAGTGCAGAGCTTGAGATGCCTCCTTACAAGTTAGTGGGCAGGGAGGCTCTGGAGGTCTCTGAAACAGTGGTTATTGCCATGGCTCCTGCTTACCCACCATGCCTACACGGAAGCTCTTATTGCTGAAGACACCACACACTTCGGCTGCAGGACATACATCAGTCTCAAAGTGACTGGGAAGCTTCTCACCACTGGCTAGCTTCCATAGTGTCAGCGAGACTGTGCAGGGTGCTGGATGAGTGCTAGACCCTGCATGCCACAATACCGACCTGCGAGGTAAGACATGCCCACTCATGCAGTACTGGCATGACTGTTATGGGGTAACTGACAGCTTTCTGACTGGATTTGAGGCCTGATTCACAGAAGGGATTTCATGCCAGGTACTCCTCACTCAGTCAAAACCCATACCTGGAGAAGCCACATGCCCCAGGGTAGGGTCATTCTCCTCAGTGACCGCTTTGGGAAGTATTTATGCTACACCTGTAGACCCAGGCTCCTCTCAGCCTGGGTCAGAGAAACTTCTTTCTGCTGCATGCAGTGGTCAGTGCAGACAGCAGACACCTAACTAACTGGGCAGAGTGCTCAACTTTAAATGGGCCATCCTTATAACCACTATCCTCCCCACCCCAGCTAAGACCATCCTTATAACTGCCATCCTTCCCCACCCCAGCTAAATGGGAAAGAGTGGTCCTTGCATTCATCCATGAACTCACAGCAGCTGTGGTTACCTGAACACAATCTACACGAGATCAAGCCAACTAACACTCTACATAGATAGGGTAGATGATCTCCAAGTCTCATCTTACACCAAGGAGCTTTTGGTACTTGATTGCTGCTGGGGAAGAGAAAATCATTCTTTGAGGGTGTGGACAATGGTGGCTTCCCTGCTCCAGTGGATGCCCCCGGCCTGCATGCACATGTGAGTTATAATAATTGGATTTAGTGAGTTATCAAATTTAAAAAATGAGAAAGAATATACAAAAAAGAAAAAGTCATGAAGTTAGGAGGGGCAGGTGTTTGGGGATACAGAGGGAGCTGGAGGGGGAAATGGGAATATATATGATCATATTCCATTGTCTGCATGCATAAAATTTCCAAAGAATAAAAAAATCAACACATAACAGAAAAATAGATTTTTTTTAAAAAAAAAATTGGAGGGGCGGCATTTCAAGACAGGGTCTCACTATGTAGCTCTGGCTGTGCTGGAATTTACTATGTAGACCAGGCTGGCCTTGAACTCACAGAGATCCACCTGCCTCTGCTGGGACTAAAAACATGTGCCACACTATGTGTCTGAGAAAAGTAGATTTTTTTATTTTTTCAGAGACAGGGTTTCTCTGTGTAGCCCTGGCTGTCCTGGAACTCACTCTGCAGACCAGGCTGGTTTCAGACTCGGAGATCTGCCTGCCTCTGCCTCCCGAGTGCAGGGATTAAAGGGGTGTGTCGCCATGCCCAGTCCTTACCCTGGATTATTAAACCTCAAATGATCTCTAGAACACGAATCAAAATCTACCCAGATTCTGTGTGAAAACCGTGCACCCCTAGAATCAAAAACCCAATTGCTTAGTGTGGCATTCCCAGACCGAGACTCACTACAGCCTTCCCTCTGCCCATCCCCGACACTGGGGGAGGGGGAGGCTGGGGACTGGAAAGAACCTCTCCTCAGCTCTTGTGCAAGGTACTCTCTCCAGCCCCTTTGTGCATGTAGATTCCCCTAGAAGCTTTCCTCATTCTTCCAACTCCCACTCCACCAGCAAGCCTTCCCCAGGTTTGTTAGCCATCACTGTGCAATGCTCTGGGCACACTGTCAGCTCAAGGGACCTCTCTGCTGATCAAACCAATCATCTTCCTTGAGGCAGAAGAGCCATGGGGCAGATACTCTGCATCTCCTGTGACCAGCTTTCATCCCACTGTGGCAGCCCTACCTGTGGGCCCTCTCCCACTGAGAAGGCCGGAAGTCCTCAGGTAAGGTCTGGAGTGGAGTGGAGACCAGGGAGTCCCATCCCAAGCCCCAGCATTTGTCACCTGAGTCAGGTAAACTCCTTGCTTCTGTATGCCCCTGCTTTGACAACAATACAGAAATAAACACTTAGCTCTTAGGTAGTACGATGGCTATTTGGTTGCCAAATTGACTGCATCTGGAATTAACTAAGATCCAAGTGACTGGCCACTCCTGTGAGGACTTTGCAGATTTGAAGCAAGAAGGCACACCCCGAATTACAGCCACAAATTCTTGTGGCAGCCTACATAAAACGGTATGGAAGAAGAACGCATTGCTTTTTGCCTGCTTGCCCTCACTCATGCGGGAAACCTGCTGTGGCACTCCTTCGCTGATATTAGAACCTACTTCTTTGGAATTGCAACAGACTGAACAGCTAACAGATTCTTCGGAGACAGCCATTTTCGGATTAGCTGGATCACAGCCTGTAAGCCACTCTAGTAAATCCTTGTTTAATATTTATGGATTCATTCTATCAGTTCTGTTCTGCTAGAAAATCCTAACACAGGTAGAAGTAGCGATTGCTCTCCCACCCACACTGGCCAGGCAAGCTTATGTCCTGGCACATTTTATCCGCATCTCCAGTAACAAGGTAGGAACGTTAGCTGGATCCAGGGCATAAAGTGGCAGAGAAAACAGGGGTAGACTGTCACCTGCTTCACCCCTGGCCTACCAGGGTTCAACACTTCCATCCTGCAGGAATGGGAGAGAATTGGGAGCAAGGAAGGGAGGCTGCAGGTGGGGTGTATGTGTGTGCATCAGCTCCTGCCAGGGGTGCCCACCAGCACAATGGTGATGACAGCAGCCACAGGGACTGTGGAGCAGAGAGAGCATCATCTTGGCCTTTCTTCCATGGGTTCCACAATCCCAGTACAGATAGATAGGACCCTCACCTTTTCAGTTTCTTCTACATGCCAGGCAGATGCAGAACTGAGGGCTTTGCTGTCACATCCCCAAGGGGCGTGAGTCATTACCCAGGTCACATAAACACAAGCTGAGAAGACCATACCTCTCTGTCCCCACAGCCTGTACTATAAACCAGGCAGGTGTCTCACTGCTGTGGGTAAAACTCAGTTCCTGGCAGCCTCAATTTAGAATCACAATGACCCCAAATTAGACTTTGGAACCTGAAGCTTCACATTACCCCCCCGCCACACACAGCCTGAAATCAGGTTGTGCAGTACACAAGCAGTCTTCCTAACTGCACATAGCAGGCCCGAAACCATCCCAAGTCTTTGAACCAAAGCTGTGGATTCTACCTTCTCAGCTGGAATGCAGCCCCTTCTTTCCACAGCCCTTTGGGTGTCCCAATGTTAAACCAACCACCTTAACTGCACCAGATGCCTGCCTAGCTCCTGCTCCCAGGGTGAGGCACACTGCATCGCGGAACCACTCATTTCCTCCTCTGCTGGTGCTGGGTGTGAGAGCTAACATTTTGTTTTAAGTCTAAATTACTGCGCTTAAGAGATTTCGAGGGAAAAATAATAGATACATAAAAAATTGACACTTGACAAAAAAAAAAGAGATTTCGAGGGGACTGGAGAGATGGCTCAGTGGTTAATAGCACTGACTGCTCTTCCAGAGGTCATGAGTTCAATTCCCAGCAACCACATGGTGGCTCACAACCATCTGTAATGAGATCTGGTGCCCTCTTCTGACGTGTGGGCATACCTGGAGGCAGAATGTTATATACATAATAAATAAATAAATAATCTTAAAAAAAAAAAGAGAGAGATTTCGAAAACAGAAATGCCTCTAACCTGCAAGCCCCACTTGTCCAAGGACAGATTACTTCCTGGAAAACTGTTCACATAGACAACAAGCCAAGCCACGCATTATCTCTTCAGTAAACAAACTTGGTTGCCCCAACTGCACAGGATGTGTGCTTACCAGTGACTGGACGAAGGTGGGAGTTCATAGCCTTTCAGGGTTTGTCTTTATAAGCAAAAAATGTAATCCTGTGAAATACTCTGCAAATCCCAAGTATCTGGCCAGCATTTAGTAAAGCTGGCCTCAAATTTGGCTCAAAAAATCTTGGTAGTGGTCTCGTTCTCTCCTGGTGGGATTAACACTAGGTTTTCTCCCAGACCACTCCCCAGTCCCACGCTCTACCTCAAATACATCCTTCATTCCAGCCAGAATGCTCTAGGGATTCTGCAGTGTCGCCTCAGTTTCCCCCACCTCAGGAACACAGTGCCCTCCGGGCTGTCCTGTCCACCCCCAGGCAGGGTTGGCACTCCTGCCTCCCCAGTCACATTTCTTCCCAGGAAGGCAGGATGAAGCAGCAAGCAGACAGAAGTGGCTTGCCATCCCAGGGTAAAGTGAGCTCGTGAGCCGGGAAGGAAGTGTAGGAACCTGTGCCTTTGGCTTCTCTCCCCACCTATACCTGCCACCTTCACCCCTGCCCCAGTAACCTCTCTGCCCGTGTGTGAGAGGTGTCTGTCTGGTTGGAAGCGTCACCTCAGCTCCCTAGCACCCCTTTATCCAAGGAGTCTGGGGTGTTTGGTTGGAAGCTTCACCCAGCACCCTGGCATCCATTTTGGAACGTTTGGTGGAAAATTCCATTCCAAGCCCCTCCCCTTTGAGTTGCCACAATCCAGACTCCACCTCAGAGAAAGCCCGCCAAATGGTGACCCCTCCCCAGAGAGGGTCAAGACCACGCCCACAGGCTAGTTAAAACCCTTCCTCGACCCAGAATGAACGTGTGGTCTTTCCAGTTCTCCTTACCCCTCCTGGAGGGCCACCCAGGAGCGCTCAGTAAACAGTAAACCTGAGCTTTTTCTAATTTGGTTTGATTTGGTCTGATCTGGATTATTGCGTCGGCAGAAAGGCTTATCGGGCCGAAAAAACTTTGCAGTGTCATCTTTTGCACCCCGTCTTGTCAACAAAGGTGACAAACCAGAGGTCCACAAAACATTTTGTTTGGCCTGTCATATCTTTTGAAAGTTTTAGTTAGCTGCTACCATTTAAAAATCATAAAATTCTGCATAAGAATCCAGCATTCTAGTTTCTTTTGAAAAGTGAGATCTGGTGGCACAAATGGTCCACCCCCAAGCCCATTTCTTCAGGGGTGACAACCAGCTAAAGCTAGTATTAGCTGCTCCTTTGCTCGGGCTACATTCTGCCTTCTGAAGTCCTAAGCCTCCTAAAAGCAGCTGCCATACACACTGGCCCCGCCTCTGACTACATCTGCGTGAGACTGTTCTTCCAAAGTAACGGAAGGGCTAGAACAGCTCCAGCCATCTTTCTTAGCCTCAGGCCTCAGCGTAGGCGGGCAGGAAGAGCAGGGTGGGCAGGAAGGCTGGGCGGAGAATCCCTGTCAAGCCACACCTCCAACCTCTCCGGCCGATTTTCCAGCAGCATCCCAGGAACTCCTTGTGTCCTGTCTTGAGTCTGGTTGGGGCCAGGTGGCTGCAGCCATGGAGGGAGCTGGCCGAGGTGGCTGTAGATACCGGGCTGGCTGGCTAGTCCGTCAGGTCACTCTGCATCCTCTCGAGCTGGGCCTAAGGCCTGCGGTTTCCTGAGCTTGAGCAGCACTGAGGTCTGGAAGCATAGGCTTCCTTACTGTTCAGCCAGTTCAGCCAAATATGCACCATGGGGTTGCTGCCTTGTCACAATCCAACATGATGTTGAGAACAGTGCAAGGGGCTCCTCCTACAGACAGCTCTGTGCGGGAATCCACCCGGTACTTCACAGTGTTCAGACCACCCTCCCGGTCCACCTTGAATTGTTCCTGGGAAGAAGAGAAGGAAAGAACATGAACTCAGGCTTCATGGTGCCAACTGTTCACCCATCTCCATTAAAAGAGAAGAGCCCAAAGCTGCCATCTTGTCCAAGCCTGCACCCATCAGTAAGGAAAATTCAGACTTTTCTAGGCTGGCACCTATAGTTAACCCTTCCCACCCCAGCCTATAGGAGGCTGGCACCTTTAGTTAACCCTTCCCACCCAGCCTATAGGAGGCTGGCACCTTTAGTTAACCCCTCCCACCCAGTCTATAGGAGGCTGCACC